CTTTATAAAAAAAGTTTGAGACACACTGCTATATCTACTGGAACCTCCTTGTCTATATTTGTTGACCCCCTCAAAGAACTCTAGCAGGTTAGTGAGGCCTGATTTCCCTTTACTGAAACCATGTTGACTTTCCTTCAACAAATTATATTCCTCTATGTTTCTGATAAATGTATTCTTTACTATATTTTCAACTAATTTGCCCAGGACTGATGTTAGACTTACCCATGTATAATTGCCAGGATCATCTCTAGAGCTCTTTTTAAATATTGGCATCTTGATAGCTATCTTCCAGTCATTAGGTACAGAAGCATTGAAAGTCTGTTCCCTCCTGAACCTTATTGCCTATTCCTGAGCTCTTTTCTCATAATCTGCCACTTCTGATTCTATGGGTTTGCATTGCTTTCAGTTTGGAACAATAAAGTTTTAAAAAGATGAACATACTATAGAAAGCTTAGAATGGAGTAAACAAAAACAAAAAACCTGCAACCCAATGGGAATATCAGTTTAAGAAACCCATTAAGCCCAATGCTTTCAGTAATGTACTGAAAGTTGGTACAATTATGCAAAGTGGATGTAGTGGGTTTTGATTTGCATCAGGGAAAATTATGTTTAATGCTTTATCAAAGAAACTTAACTACAGGAAGAAATATCCAACAAAGTTAGCTACTAAAGGAAATTGAATAACTATCACTAGAGATATTTAATGCTGCAATTGACACTCAGTTATTAAGACTAGCTTGTGGTTAATGAAAACAATCCTGCTCTGCAGATGATAGACTACATGGCCAACTAGATATTCATTCCAACTCAAATCAATCTATATTTCTTGTCAGTGGAATAATTCTAGGTACATTTTTAGTTTCCAGGAAGTCTTTGGATTTTTATAATTCCTTGATCATCACTATAGTTCTGCATTAGCCTCTTTATATTATATACTGAAAAGTTTGAAATTACTGGTTTTTTAATTGAAAAAAGATAAACCCCAAAACCATCATTTTCCTTAATCAGAAGAGGTGTCCAGAAATTTGTATATGTTCAGTCCTAAACTGTTTTATGGAAAATTTGGTCCAGTAAAGGAAAATAAATAATATTGTTTTTTAAATTCTTAGCCCTTATGTTTCAAATTTCCAATTCTGGGGCAAAATGTTTAGTCCAATAGAACAGTATTGTTATTCATGCTGTATATAAAACATATGATGAAAGATAACACACATGTTTTGGATATGTAATCTGTAATTAGGGGCAAACAAATGGGCCCACAGAAATTTTAAATTTCAAAGGAACCCCCCCAAAAAGTTTCTATAACTGGCATTCTGAGTTTCCTCTTAAAACAATATACTTATTGCATTTAGTCCAAAATTACTCCCTTGCTAAGAATTTATTTATTGTTAAGAACATAAATCTCAGCCTAAGCTTTTAATGTTTTTGAAGGTTCCTATGGACTTTTCATTTCTATGCTTAGTTTCTTCTGCCTTTAAGAGACACTTAAACCCTTGTCTGATAATTGGCTCACACTGATAGGATCCAATTGTCTGAGGTCAGGGTGAGTAAGCAGAAGAAATTTCTCTCTATGCACTGTCTAAGATCTTTTCTTAAGATCCTAGAATCAGATATGTTGTTTTAGTTTCACAGTATATAAAAGAGAAGTGTTGTTTACAAAAATTGTATATATCTATAATTTCATATATTTATTTACCAGTTTGATTTATTTCTCTATTTTTTTTTTAGGATCCACATAATTGATCATAATTGATCATAGTCTGCTCTCTTCATATGGGCAGACCACCCTTTAGGATATCAGTGGAAGTTCCATATATCTAGGCAGAGCAGACTATAGTAGGGGTATGTCTACACTAGTCATTCCAACTTGCAAATGAAGCCCAGGATTCATTTGCATTTTCCTGTTTGAACTAAAGCTCCTCATTGCTGGAGGAGTAACGGTAGTTCAAATTAGGAGCTTTAGTTCGAACTACCTAGCCCATGCCACGGGTAGCTGCGGGCAGGTAGCTCGAACTACGGGGCATTTAAAAATGGCGGCACTGGGAACATGCAAATGAAGCCTGGGATATTTAAATCCCGGGCTTCATTTGCAAGTTCGAATGACTACATTAGCCACCCTAGTCTGAACTAGGGTGGCTAGTTTAGACACACATTAGGAGATGACATTTCCATGTGAACCTTGGAGGGGAAGTTTGTGCTAAGATAGGGTAAGTCTACACTACAAAGTTAATTCGAACTAACAGCCGTTAGTTTGAATTAACTTTCATAGGCGCTACACAGACAAACCGATAGTTCGAACTTAATTCGAACTAGCGGAGCGCTTAATTCGAACTAGGTAAACCTCATTCTACGAGGACTTTCTCTCTATGCACTGTCTAAGATCTTTTCTTAAGATCCTAGAATCAGATATTTTGTTTTAGTTTCACAGTATATAAAAGAGAAGTGTTGTTTACAAAAATTGTATATAGTTCAATGCCTAGTTCGAATTAAGTAGTTCGAATTAAGGGCTGTGTAGCCACTTAATTAGAACTAGTGGGAGGCTAGCCCTCCCCAGCTTGCCCTAGTGGCCGCTCTGGGCACCACCAGGGAAACTCGTTTGCCCCCCTCCCGGCCCCAGAGCCCTTAAAGGGGCACGGTCTGGCTATGGTGCCCGTGCCAGGTGCAAGCCTGCCAGCACCCAGCCA